AACCTAAAACCATTATAATATTTTCCGGATACATTAAAAACTTTTGTTGTCCAAGCTTTACCGTCGTTATTAGAATAATGCATTTATTGTTTTAGAACATCCTTATATGATATTTGATTTGCATTTTTATATTAAGGTTATTTAATCAAGTTATTTTTAGGACTTATAATATTAAAATAAATTCCGAACATGTGTTGTCAATGTCATGGTCACAAACATATTAATTATTATTAATAAAAGGATTTAGAGACATAGATGGTATTTACCGTACATGTTTTTAATTGAAAGTTAAGAAACAAATTTGCTTAAATTGCGATTATATCGTAATAAGATTGGGTTTTTAGCTTAGACTACCAAACATTCTTGTTTTATTTACTAAAAACGTCTAGTTAAGTTATGGCTAATGTATTCAGTATTATATACGTACCAATTCTTTTTAATGAGTTTAAAATAAAATCGATATTTTACGGTAATATCGTAAAGAGTTTCTTATCAATAAATATATTGTAGGTGAAATACAACATTTTATAAAAGCAATAATATTAGTGAGTTCAACAGGCACAAAATATTTTTCTTAATTGTGAAATATTTAAAACTAATATTTAACGCATAAATATATTAGCATTTAAAATTTAGTAACAAAAACGTAAGTAACATCGTAGGTAATACTACTAAAGGTAATAATACTAAAGCCAAAATAAAAAAAGAAGTCAATGCTTGAACGTGACTCATAATATTAAGTTATGCTAAAATACTTTGGAAATGTAAATTTCAATGTGACTGTCCTTTATAATTAGTCCTTTATCCATCTTTTTTACAATGGTTAAATCAAATCTACAAATAACCAAATAATTGAGTCTCACCGAATTAAATATACGGTATTGTCCCATAAAATCGTAAACACATTACAAGAACTTATAATGAATTACTTGATAAATACTCGTACGTCTCACAACCTCCTAAAAAAAAAGAAAACCTATTATTTTTCCATCATGTATTGCTAAGAAGTTTACATCTCATTTAAAATGACGGCCCGAGGAGTTAGGTTGACGCTTGAAAGGTCGACGTTAAGGTAGGAACAGACTTAAAATAATACTTAGGAATCAATTTATTCTCAACATTTTTGTCAGTTAACTTCATTTCAATGTATCGAATAATATAAATGAAAATAAAAACACTTTATTTTATATTTTCTTTTTTCTACACGCAAAAAATATTTTAAATTGCATTTACAAGAAAATACTTTATTAATCAAACTTACTTGATATTCACTGCTGTAACGAACACATCTTGGCGCAAAATTATGGGGCTCTCGACTAAAAATGTTAATTTTGACCCATTTCAGTAGAAATGCGAGACGAAATCACCTCGTATAGCAACCATTAACTTGTGTACCGACATTACAAAATACGATCAAAATTATAAAAAATGATTCACTGTAAAATATCTGAGAGATAGTAAAGTTAATCGAAATTGTTTTTCGAATACCAAGCGGATTTTCTTATTTTTATCATCTGTAGTAGCTAGTATCATACTTATTTTATAATTCGATTAAATTGTATTTTATAATTTAATTAAATTGTATACGAAATATAAACTATACAAATCGTCTTTATGTGGTTTAAGAAAAAATTGTCTGTGTTAAGTTCTGGATACTATAAAACTTACATAAAAGTGCATAATATTCATTTTGGGATGCTGGAAAATACTGAATTATTATTATTAAAAATAGTTAAAAGTTAAATTTATTTTACAATATAAAGATACCTTTTGAAAAAATAAATAATCAAAATAATTCGAAATTTATTTATTATTAATATGCAACCGTCAATATTCTATATATTATTTAAATATTCTGCTTACTTATGAAACCTGTTTTGTATTGTAAATTATAAACAAAAATTAATAACAATTACATCTGTTCATGCAAAAACTACGTTCCAATTATCCGCCGGTTTTTGCTGATTCTCTCACTACAGATACATATATTTTTTTTAGGGTACCGTAGATCAGAGAACTAAAAAATTCTTTATATGAATGCCTGTTTTATACTGTAATTCAGAAGAATTGGATTTCTAAATAAAATTGCTTGTAAATCTTGTTTAGTTAAGTAAATAAATTACTGATAATATATGTACTAACTTTGAGACTCTCGCGTTGCATGATTATAATTATAAAATTAAAAAATGAGTATACCTCTGTTAGCTTGTAACCACAGACAGTATGACCTGGACAAAAGGTCAAAAAAGGAAAGAATACATGATCGTGTTAATCCATGAACCCTAAAATTATATTTGTTCTCATAATATAAAATATTATTATTTATTAAACCACCAAAGCACTGTAAGGCTGGTGCTTTTAGTATGGTTATTTATTATCATTTTAGCAAAACTTGTTTGACATAAAAAACTTGACTACAGACTAACCAGTATTATACAAATTCGCTGTACAGTAAATCTTTATGATTTTTTTTAATTTTAATCTCGTTTATCAATTCCAGAAACACCTAATTTAATCACTCATCTTTAACGTCATACTAAAAATACCCACCTATATTTATTTATTAAAACAATAAGGTAAATTTTGTTTATTTCTCTTAATTTCACTATAAAGATAAAATAGTTCCTTGAAATGACCCATGTGACGATAATATTTGTATTGAACTCACGTACATTTAAAATAGCATCGCCGCTTGGTAACCGGTTAGTTTGAGATTAGCATTCGTGAAGTGTGTAACAACATGAAGCTGTTAATATTGTGCTGTAAGTAATTATCGAATTATTGATTTTTATATTAAATATATCTATTTATAGCTATTTTAAAATTGTGTTATAGAAGTATTGTTTTGTTTCCGACTCATAATCATCAAAGGAACTTATTATAAGCATATATTTTGTTTACTGTTTCATCTTGATACCGAGTAACAATAACTTTAAACTGATTATAAAGGTCAAGGTGAATAAGTACACATTTTATGACTTCATTATATATATATGTGTATTTAAAATAAACAAAAAAATTAGTTTCAAAAAGAATATTCTTGGCTTTAGTTTTAGCGTTCCTTTGTTTCTAAGCATAATATCTTCTTTATATGTATAAGTAAAAATAAAATGAAGATATTTCAAATTTTTGTCCATTTTATTGCAAGAATTTTTATTTTATTTTCTGAACTCATGATGATTGTATGTAAATTCGTTTGATTTGAAAGAAAAATTAACAACAATAACAACATAATGGTTTTAAAGAATTCCCATAATCAAAATAAATAAAACTTGTTATCGCTCAGCGTGCAAATGAAACATAATAGTTTACCGACAATGGAAAAACCTGGTCATACATCGAAGGTCACTATGGATGAATAGTTAATATTTTCAAGCAATTTAAAAAAACAAATAAGACTACCCCCCATTTTTTAACTGTATACCAACATACAATAAAGAACGTTTATTTTAGTAGCTGTATGAAGATAGAACAAAAAAACTTAAAGGTATACAACAATCAGAATATGACTATTTCTTTTATTTCAAATCATAAGCTGTAAATACGGAGAAACAAAATAAGTATAAACTAAAGAAAAAAAGCCTTTAATATCAAATTAAATGCTACACAGCACTTAATAACGTAATGGTAATTTACCAATGTTAAAACCAAACCTAATTAAATTAATCAAAGTTGTAATTAGTATAATTCATAATTTTATTTGATATATGGTAAAAGGCATTAATATCCTATTAGCATTTAATGGACTATAAACAATTTATTCATACTTGTGAAGATAACCAAAATAGTTTTCCACAGATATATGTATATTTGTTATAAAAAATAAATTAATTTTGCATTCCGTTTATTTGAATATTTTCTACTGTTTGCTTCACCTTCTCTCGAGATTAAAAAACACATAAACTTAATACTTGATGACAATTTGTTTATTTTAATAATTATATCGTAATAATATATGTAAATCGGTAATATTTATTTTAAATTCTTATTTTGATAACTTTTAAATGTAGACGTTACGAATGAAATATCTTCTAACTAATGACAAATATTCACTTATAGTGCATATAAATATGTATATAAAATTTTCCACATCCATTGATTTCAAATTAATTAAAATTTTGGGAACTTCTGATCATCAGTGTTACTTAAATCAATAATCACTTCGACTATTTTAATGTCATTTTCGTTGTCAGTCTATGTAATATTATAGCTCTTAATTAATTAAATTTGTAATCAGACTTAAATATGACGATGGATGTTAATGTGATTTGTCGGATAATTTTTCTTTTTACTTTTATTTTACAGTAATCGTTTAATATACTCAGGGTTTTTAGATCTTCAGTTATTATTTATTTTATCTAGACAACATGAAATGCATGCAATGTTTGTCAAAAGTTCATGTACGAATGCTTACACAGGACATAATTCAATGTTATATCTCAGTATAATATAGCAAATATAATTATTTGCTAAATTATACTGAGAATATTGCAATGCTCCATACAATACCCATATTGCAATAGTTGAATATTAAAGAAAATGTTAATTATTGGCCAGGACTAACTGAACAATGAATAATGTTATAAAAAACAATATAAGGAAAATATTTGTACGAGCCAGACAAGATAATAAAAAAATTCTTACTCAGCTTAAACATGTACAATATTTTTTACAGGCAATTGCTAAATGTTAATAGCAGTCGCTCTACAGCTTTGTTTGACTTGTCTTTGTGTTTTTTATATATTATACATCCAATCGTAAAACTTCCTTATAAATTATACCAATACATCACAGGGGCAACTTTATTACATACGCCATCATTTATGAAATTAAATTACTAGTAAATAGATTGTTTATTTTTATTAGTTAACTAAACTGCCGTTATTTTATTAAAAAAAATGTATTTCATCTTCATAATAGAATTATAAAGAAACGATATTGTTTTGAGACGATTTATAGTTTCGAACAAAAAAAATAAAGGCCTGTATATTATGTTACAGTGTTTTCCCTGATCTTTGTATCAAAGGCCGATGAGAGGAGTGTAGAGGATATTCTACACGATGGCAACAATGAATTCACAGCCAAAATGTTTACGGTAATACTTCGATATAAATGTATATTATTTACCTATATATATAATATATTTATTTTACCATGTATCAGATCAAAAGCTTACTCTTTTATTACTTTTTTATTTCAGGAGGTTGTCAAATCTAATCCGGGTAAGAGTGTAGTACTATCTGCATTCTCTGTTTTGCCCCCACTCGCACAACTTGCTTTAGCATCTGTCGGCGAATCACACGATGAACTTCTAACAGCAATCGGAATGCCAAATGATAATGTCGTAAGTAAAATATTCAGAGGTCAATAGATACAAAAAAAGTTTGTTATTAAAAAATCAACATCATCATCATCATCATAAACAATATAACGATAAATTTCTTCTTTATCTGAAATTTTTTTAATATAAAATTATTTTTATTAAACCAAATCTGTGTTTTAAAAGTACATATCGATTAAATATTTCAAGTATACGAGTATGTGTATAATTGATTAATTATTTGTTGCAGACCAAAGCAGCTTTCTCACAATCAAATGAGAGATTGAAATCCGTTAAAGGAGTTACGCTTAAGACAGCCAGCAAAATTTACGTCGCTAAAAACTATGAACTAAATAGTGATTTTGCTGATCTCACTCGTAATGTTTTTGGATCTGAAGTGGCAAATGTTGACTTTAACGAAAATGTTCAAGTGGCCAATGAAGTTAACCAATGTGTATTTGGATTGCCGTTAATATAATAATAATATTATGGATAATAAACGCTCAATTAACACATAAAATATATTTCAGGTTGAAGATCAAACCAATCACCGCATTAAAGACCTCGTAGATTCCTCGTCTCTCGATGGAAGTACAAGAGCTCTCTTGGTTAATGCTATTTACTTTAAGGTATGACAAAATCCATAGTAAAGTCAAGTTTGTCGTGGATGATGAAGCAAAAAATATCTTATTACTTTTATGCATAGGGACTATGGGAGAATCCTTTCACCAAAGAACTAACCCGTGAAAAGGATTTCCACGTTACCAAGGACAAGGTTGTCAAAGTTCCCACCATGTACAATAAGGCTACGTATAAATATATTGACAGCAAGGAACTTGATGCACAGGTGAAGTTTAAGTATCATTATTAAAATTTTATGTTTTGAATATATATTCTTATATATATTTGTGCGTTGTTTTATAGGTATTGGAACTGAAATATGAAGGAGGAGATTCAGCCCTATACGTCGTTCTTCCACATGAAGTTGATGGCATCACGAAATTGGAGGAAAAACTTAAAGATCCAAAACTTTTGGATAATGTTATTGCTGATATGTACGAAACAGAAGTTGAGGTTTATCTTCCCAAATTTAAAATTGAAACTACAACGGACCTTAAGGATGTTCTTGAAAAGGTAAGAGTCAAAAAGAATACCTCACATGCAATGTAATGAAAATTTTGCAGAACCCATTCAATTTATATTTTAAGGAAAAATTGTGCACTATAACACCTTAAGATTCTATTAATGGAAATCACTTCATATAACTTTATTGTTACATTAATAAACAAAAATTTATTTTTGCTATTTTTAGATGAATGTTAAGAGATTGTTTAGTCCCCAAGAGGCTAGACTCGACAATCTGTTAAAATCCGTTGGTGATTTGTATATTAGTGACGCTAGACAAAAAGCATTTATTGAAGTCAACGAAGAAGGTGCTGAGGCAGCAGCAGCTAATGGTAAGTTAAAGAAATGTTCAGAAAAAAACGTTAATTAGCATATAACTACATATTAAATTATTGTTTGCAATACGAACTAAATAATGACACAGGATCAATTAACAAACACATCATTTGTTACGACAAAATTATACATAATTAAGATAATTATTCCAAACTAAAATCAACAAACTAGTGACGGGAATACAAATTTAATATTATAAATATAACTTTGGCCAATCAGGACACTTCAAAAACTAATTGATGTAGGAATACAAAATTTAATTTAAGAACAACGTGACACCATGTTATGATACACAAAAAGTAATACTCGGTAATTAAAAAAATCTAAAACGTGCTTATTATTTGGTTAATCTACCAAAAATAAATGCAAACCTTCTCATATAATACTGCAATGCAGGAATTGGACACATGAAATTTAATATTATCATGAAGGTGGATAAAAAACGAACACAAAATTATAAGTTTTTTAAATCTTTAAACTTATAAAATAATTAATTTAAATCACAAATAAGCTTCTAAATTTAAAAATTTAAATTTAAAATTAAAACATAAATCATAATCGTTCTAAATATTACATATTATTACAGAATTTGGTGTAAATCGTATCGGACCACTTCCTCAAGTCAACAAGTTTAAAGCGGACCATCCATTTAAATTTTATTTATATAAGGAATATGTTACTTTATTTACCGGAGCCTATGTCAAATAGGTATTTGTATCATGTAGGATATTTTTCTGGTATGGAGTAGTACTAAACATCATTGAAGTACTTAACATATCACCTCGTCGGCATGACTAATAATATTGACTAAAGAGGACTGAATAGGTTAGACTATAACTAACTTTAAATTATAAATAACGTAATAATAATAATAAAACATTCATAAATCAAAAGACGACGTTCACGCATTGTTGTACTAAATTAACCATTAGTTATATACGCATTTTAAGAAAGAGAGACCTCTCCATATTAGATATAGTTAATTCTTTAGTAGCGTTATCTACTTCTATTACAAAACAAATGTAAAAAACAATAGAAAAATATTTTTCATTTTGTCACTATAAGCTTATCTAATAAAAAAAAATGTCTTTAAACGATAACTATATTTAAATGTATAAAATAAATACTTTCTTTTTAAACTTTTGATTTCATTATTTTTATTATAAATCATATACCTACAATCGTAATATCATTGATTCGACGCTGACGCTTCTTTAATGTTACAAAGTTTCATTGTTCTCAATAACTCTTTTCATAGGCACTATAATTATCGTGAATACTATGTAATATACACAGTACGAGTATAATAAGCTTATTATCGTTTGCCACTTTCAACGGATTGAAAACCAAATTAGCCTAAATTAATTCCCACTCTATCTCATATCTATAAAAATTCAAACAAACAAAAGTTAAAAGATATTATTATTCCAAAGACATTGTCTAATGTGCTTTAATATTTTATTAATTGAATGTAGTTTAAAATAAATATTTATTACTTAAAGCATTTAGATAAATTAATGTATTTGGAAAGAAAATTAAGTAATATTTATATTTATTAAAAAATTTCAAAGTGGAAAACCAACACGAAAACCGAATTTATTTGGGTATGCCATTTTTAAAATTATTTATATTTACTCATACACTTAACAGAATGGAATAAATAAATAATTACCTACCTATTATTTATTTTATAATACATTGATTGATCACTTGAAAAATAATATCAAAAATTATAGTATTTATGATAAACCTTTGATTTTTGGAAAAATTAAATAACATTTAAATTGTGTCAGCTTGTTAAAAACTTCATACATACAAAACGGCCAAAAGTATGTATTTGTGGTACATTTTCGAAATAATGATTATTATTTTTATTTGTACAACTTAATTATAAGTAACTTAAAAGTATTTTTTTTATATATATATCAACGTTCTTCCAAGAGAACTTTACATTACAGACGAAGATTTTATTTACTTAAAAATTTTAAAGCAAAAACTCGTTCTTAGTGATTCTTATTTTAATAACAATAATATTTATCACAAGTTTATTAATGTCATCTTTGAATAACTTTTATTTGTAAAACATTTCTATAATTAAACTACACCACCTGTTGTGTTAGTGTATATTAAAATATTTTCCTATTTTTCGGTTTTTGAATACGTTGAAAATTATTAAAAATATTATTAATATAGTCTTTCTCTGAATCATTATGTATGCCTCGAATTTTCGATTTATAGTTCCGTTTGGAGTGCTTATTAAAATGATCCCAATTAATGTTCAGCGAGTATGTATTAAATATATTTTGCATTGGCACAAAATTTATTGAATTTAAACATCTCATTAGTATGTCAACTTTAAATATAAAGCAGTATTTCATGTTATAAACAAAGACGGGATAATTAAATTGCTTCATACATAATATATCCACAACTATTTTTGTTTTTTTAATCAAATTTAAATTAAAAATATCTGATAATATCTACAAGTAAGTGTCCATCCTCCATTGTACCTGTAAAAAAACAAGGACTTTATATGCATGAAAAATGCGATCCTTAATATCTCGTATTTTGAAGCTCTTTTTATTGTCATTAAACCTTAGTAGTTAAAAGGTATGTGTATTTTTATGGTACTTGGTAAGGCAAAAACATAATATGATCTATAAAAAAGATCACGTTATAAACTACGGAATATATTTTGAAACTAACATTTGTAACAGTTTCAAACACTCTATGTGCATGATAAATTCTATTCTTAGTGTCTTGTCTTTTTGGAAGCTTTTGTTCTTTATCATTTACTGTGGTAGTTAAGAAATATATGTTTTTTTCCAGTTTTCGGTGTTGTGGCCACCAGTCTCGTGATCAACGAACCCCCGACTCCTCGTTTTGTTGCCGATAGGCCGTTTACTTTTGTTATTAGAGATAAATCTCTCTCACTATTTAATGGTGTCTATGGTGGAAATTAAAAATCTTAAGAATTACTTTCTTTAAAGATCATGAGATATTGCATTTTATCGAACAAATACATTGAATGTCGTAGGTATGTCATTTTGCAATGACTTTCCTTTGGTGTTCAGTTTTTATTTCATAACTTTACAAAAATATTTTGTGAAGTAATTCTTTAGAGTATGCATGGTTACATTGACCAATTTTTTAGGTTTTGAAATCATTTTATTTAGGTATGATATTGACCCAGAGATTTTTTTTATTCAAAATGATTACGTCAAAAGTGTTGTGTGAATGTTGTCATTTTAAAATTATTACAATCTTCCCAAAATTTCCCTTGTTTTTTTTAATCAACGAATTCTTGTTCTAAAAAATTCTGGGGTTAAATTATGTGTTGAATACATTTTAACTTTGTATAAGAAATCATATAATTAAATCACCTTTTTTGTTCATTTGAATAATATATTATAAATTGCATATAATTATATATTGCATTTTAACATTGATACAATTCAATTTCGGAATATTTTATAAGACTATCCTAAAATTATTACAATTCAACTTGCTATATAAAAAATATGTGCAAGACATGATTCATCACTGTACAATTTAGGCTGTAATTGTAAATCCGCTTATAAATCCAATCGATTTTGCCTGACCACAAACATCAATAACCTATTGTGCTTTTAATACTGCATTTGGTGACTTCAAATTTGGTTCCTAAACCTAAATGTTGACATTATAGAAATAAATTAATTATTTATTCAAATTCAAATTAACAAACTAATGATGGGTATACAAATTTAATATTATAATTTTAACTTTGGCCAATTAGGACACTTTAAAAACTAGTTGATGTAGGAATACAGAATTTAATTGAAGAACACCATAGAATGATACATAAAAATAAAGTTTGATTATTTTAAATAATCCAAAAAGATTCATTTTAATATATGGATTAATATGAGTAAAAGTGTTAATTATTTGATTAATCATTATAAAATAAATTTTCATTGAAAATCCATGCAAAAATTTGACACAAAAGTTAATATTATTACTGAGGTGGTTTTATGCAAACAAGGGTTTTCAGCTTTATTGGTGATTAAAAATTGGGCTAGGAATCCTTAAAAGTAGATAATGGTTTGCGAGTAGCTTTGAACAAAAATATTCATCCTACGATTGCAATACATGTGCAGAAAACGATTCTCAAAAATCACATTAAATATTATTTTTGTCCTTTTTATGTTTTTATTGTTTCTTTTAAATTTTATTGTTGTTTTTATAACATTTTTTTGTTGATACACAATACATTCAGTTTTTTTATCAAGTTTATTTTTTTAGACATTCACTTTATTTTTCTTATATATGGTAATCGCATACGAACAACAAAGAAAACAAAGTCGTTCCCCGGCTAAGAAAATATTGGAAACCACTGATTTAAATAAAGTTATTTATTTGACAAGAACATTAAGCAATATTTACATTTATTAAATAATTTCAAAGTGGAAAACCAACACGAATGACCGAATTTATTTGCCTATGCTATTTTTAAAATTTATTTAAATTTACTCATACACTCAACAGAATGAAATAAGTAAATAATTATGTATTATTTATTTTATAATACATCACAGTTCGATCGCTTGAAAAATAAAGTCAAAATCAATATTATTTGTAATTACCTTCTGTTTTTAAGCAAAAAAAAAATTTAACAGTAAAATGTGGTAGCTTGATAATAACTTTATATTTTAAAAAAGTCGCCAAATTACTATTTGTAATACATTTTTGAAGTATTTGTTACTACAAGTTCTATTTTAACAGCTTTATTATAACTAACTTATAAATATATTTATACCAACGTTCTTCCTAAACTTCTTCATAGTACAGACGGATCGTTTATTTATCGAATGGTTTTATAGCAAAAACTCGTCCTTAGTGATTCTTAAATAAATATCACAGCCTGAACATTTATTACACGCTAATTAATGTTATGTTTGAATATTTTTTATTTATAGCCTATTCGTTAATATAACTACAGCAGCCAATGTATTTCATATTAAATGTTATTGTATCTTAAAATGTTTTTTGGTAAAAGATATTACGCCTTAAAATAGTTTTTTACTGAGACAATATAGCGTCAAATTTTCAATTTAATAGCCCCATTTAGAGTGCTTATTAAAATGACCCCAATTAATGTTCAGCGAGTACATAAATATATTTTGCATTGGCACAAAATTTTATTGAATTTAAACATCTCATTAGAACGACAACTTTAAATATAAAGCAATATTTAATTTTACAAACAAAGACGGGATAATAAGATTGCTTTGTAACTAATATATCCACAGCTATTATTGTTTCTTTTTTACCAAATTAAAAGTAAAAAGAGCGTCAAGTTTTTTTTCGCTCTGTGTTAAAATCCTATAAGTTAGTAGTATCTACTTGTATTTAGATCGCCTACTTATTAAAATGAGATATTGATTGTAAAATACGAAAAAATTGTATAAGGACTTTATAAACCTTACTGTATTAAAAAAATGAACTTTATGTTCATGAAAAATTCGATTCTTAACATCTTGCTTTTTTGGAAACGCTTTTTTATTGTCATTTAACCTTAGTAGTTAAAAAGTATGTATTTTTTTTACAGTATTCGGTATTGCGGAATTCAGTCTCGTGATCGACGAACCGCCAACTCCTCTTTTTATTGCCGATAGGCCGTTTACTTTTGTTATTAGAGAAAAATCTCTCTCACTATTTAGTGGTGTCTATGGTGGAAATTAAAAATCTTAAGAATTACTTTGTTTATAAATCGTGAGATATTGTATTTTTTGGAACAAATATATTGGATGTCGTAAATATGTCATATTGCAATGGCTTTCCTTTGGTGTTCAGTTTTAATTTCATAACTTTACAAAAATATTTTGTGGAGTAATAGTTTACAGTATGCACATTGATGTAGAGCTTTTTTTTGGGGTTTTGAATTCATTCTATTGGGGTATCATAATAACTTAGAGATTTTTTTTATTCATAATGATTATGTAAAAAGTGTTAATATAGTGTCGACATTTTATATTTATTAAAATCTTCCTAAAATATCCCTTGTTTTTTTATAAAGCAACGAACTCTTTCCTCTTTTTAAAAACCCTGAGGTTTAATGTTATATCGAATTTATTTTACACATTAATAATAATTTATATAAATATTAAATATATCACCTTTTTTATACATTTGAATGGTATTCTAAAGAAGGCTCAGAAATTTAGGTTTTTTTTTGTAATCAATGCGAAAGTTATATCATAACAAGAGGTTAACATCTTATGAATTGATAAATTAGAGAAATTTACATTTTAAGCAATACTTTTAATTTCTTCATATGTATGATAAGTACTATATTATGTTCCTTTTAATGTTTCATTTCTACTTTGATTCATTTTAATTATTGAATATTTCATAAGACTATTCTATAGTATTAGAATTCATCTCGATATATAAAGTGCAAGATATGATTTATCACTGTAAAATATTCAGGATACAATTGTAAATCCGCTTATAAATCCAATCAATTTTGTTTGACTACAAACACATATAATCTGGTCACAAAACCTTCATGGTGACATTATGTATAGAAATATATAAGAAAATAGTTGTTAACTGTGTATATATGTATATTTTTATATGTATGTCCAAGTACTTTCAATTACACTTTATATCAGTGTTGTGTAAGTTGTTGATTTTTTTATTTAAATCAATGTAAAGTATTGTTACTTTAATAATTTAAATTTTTCAAAACAATTTATTTTTCTTGCATATCTAAAGTGTCTAAATAGTTCTAATACATTGTAATGTGCATGAAAATGTAGGAAAAATGATTTGTAATTGATTTCGAGGTTGAAACAATTCAAAACGAATGTATCCATTTCATTGTTTTTAAACGTTTGCGACTTAAACTATACGACAATTGAATTTATAAGAAAAAATCTAAATATTTCGGGAACATCAACTCACATACTACATTTAAATTTTAAGGAATCATTCAATGTATTTCATTGATATTTTAAAATAATAACACTATTATAAATATATACTCCTATTCTTAATTAAGATGAATAAGAAGACTAAGGTATCAACTAATAATATTTAACTAGTTTTTTAATATAAACTGAATCGTGCATTTATAGTGGCTTAAATCAAATTCTTTACCACTTTAAGAAATGTTATCACATTAAAAAAAATAGTCCTAATTATAATCCTTTAAATTAGCACCGTCTATAAAATATATTTGTAATCAAAAAGATATTTCAAACAAATATACAGATTTCGTAAAAAACTGAATAAATTGTTTATAGCACTTTAAAAGAATGTTCTATAAAGTGAAAAAAACCACAAGTTTCTGCTGAGACTATATATTACATATTTCGTAAGTTTTATAAATGCACTTACCAAATATTCGTACATGGATGGTGTTGCAGTTTTTGGCGTAGCTTATTTGGCTGCTTATGTCCCGGCTGAAAAAATTGTTTTCCGGGCGGACCGTCCTTTCTCATTCTTCCTCGGAGAGGGAGGGAATGTTTTGTTTAATGGAGTTTACTATTCTTAGGTAACAATTTTTAATGTACTTATATCTCTTATCCTGTTTTTAATTCGCCTCCTTTTGTATATATATTATTTCATTCATTATGTTTTCTGTAGGTGTAATACACATTTTGCGTTAAAGCTTTTACTATTGTTCGTAGTAAGTTTTAAGATATACTTAGATAAATCTACATTTGAGTCCGATCTCTGGAGTTGGTTAATGTCAGTGGTATCGAAATTAGTCAGAGTTCTCTATTAGTCCAATCATAATTATGTTCATTATTTATCATTAAGAACGAAGTAGTAAAATCAAAACAAAAATACATTAATACAGCCAAATTTTAATTTTTATATCAATGCTTTGAAAATCTATAAAAATGCCTTGTTATTTTATCTAAACCAATCATGTTCTTTTTTGGATAACAATAAGTTTTGGAAAACACATTTT